CTTAAAGAATACGTTTTTCGGTTTGATGCACTGTTTAGCAGTAATACATGACGAAATAAAGATCAGATAAATCTGGAATTTTCGGCTGTAAAAAGTTTTCTTTTGTTGACCTGTGTTAGCAATTTAGTTTTTTTAATATCTAAACCCTTACACACGATGTCTCGTAAGTAGAGGGAAATATTTAAAGGAACGATAGCTGAACTCAATAAATACAAAAAAGTTTATATAAATAATGGTTCGATTTTTAGCAGGAAAGTAGGGATTTAAAGTTTTGTGATTTCTCACGTTTTTTTTTTTTTTTTTTTTGAATAGGAAGTAATAAAAAAAAAATTAATTTAAGTAATTAATGATAGCTTCACTGAAAACTAGTTTATATTTACTCTAAATAAAAATAGAGGTCGCTTTTGTTAAAACCATTTAAAGAGGACTTTTGAGCGGCTAAACTCAGCAAGGAGTGGGGGGAAATGGGTACTGGTGGGGGATCAGGTAGGGGTGGGAGGTACAGGGGGTGCATTATCTATTAACTGTAATTTTTCAGATATGGGAAACCTAAGCCCAAATGAAAAACTGAGAGTTAAATTCCAAAGGATATTGGTAATACCAATTCTTCACATATGATAACTAAAGTTTTCAAGTTTTAGTGACTATTTTAACTTAATTTTTATTAACAAAAAGGATATTTTTACCAGTCTTGCAATAGTTAGGAAGCTTTAGTCTTGGTCTTGCAAAATGCATGACCAAGACAGACTTTGGACAATACTAACTATTATAAATCCACTATTATTACAAATTTTAATAGTTCAAAATTTGATCTTCGACCAATAGATTCATTTCTGATCAGTGATATAAAATATTTTTTATGAAATGGTTTACCTCTTACCATTATGTAGATATTGTATATTGCATCTAAAGTAGAAAAAAAATTGATCATTTTACTTTTTTAGTCTGTTAAAGGTGGTAGGAGAGTAATTGTTTCCGAGTGGTATAACCTAATTTTTGTATAATTTGAAATTTTCTATTTACCAATCAATATCAATTTACCTGTTATCAGTATAATGGATTAATAATCATAATATGATAAATTGTAATAATGTTCGTCACACCTTAATTTTCCATTAGTCCATATATAGAATATAAGCTTTTCCTTGTTTTATTTATTTTTCATTATTTTTTTGGGAAACTAGCTGACCCGTGCGAATACTTCACACAAATCTTATATTTGTATCAGATTTCAATACATTAAGGGCTCAGCATAAGTTCCTTTTAGTATTGTTTCTAAGCAAAGGTTTAATACTTTTATTTAGCAAGTTATCAGTTTATAAACATTATGATCTATACCCATCCATAATTTAACCCTTGCTAGTTTAATTTGAATATATAATTATAATATTATATTTGTCTTAAGTTTACAAAAGCTTCTAAACATTTCCTTTAAATATCCAACGAAGCCTAAATACTTAGGATTTAGTTCTCTGAAAGGAATGGTTTGATCTAGCAGGCTGTATACACAGAAAGAAAAAAAAAAGAGAGATGTTTCTTTTGTCATTAAAAATAATGACAGCTTCCAAAACATAATGATAAGAAAATGCATGAAGTTAAATAATGGGAAAAATATGAAGTTGCATCATTAGAATATTTCAATCATTATACACACTTAAATTTCTGTTTACTTTACTTTCTGAAAGGTTTATTTCAAAACTGAGATTACTCATAAACCGATATTGTCCATCGAGACCACTAATAAAAGAACATTTTTAAAATGTAAAAAGATGGACATAATACTAACCAGAAAGGACAGTTCAAACCAAACGACTATTTGTAAATTATGTTTGACAAACCACAAAAAAAAAAAAAAAAAAAAAAAAAAAAAAAAGATCAAAGGATTTTCTTAGTGACAAAATTTATAATCTCCCAAATCCCTTCAATAATCAATAGGTACTAGTTCACATGAGTTATAATTGTTCTGTTACAAACTATCGTTCCATTACAATATAATACGATATTGGAGTATAACAGAAAATTACATCTGATTTATTTATTTTTTTTTTTTTTTCCAAAATTTATATCAACTATTAAACAAAAGAAAGTAATTCAGTGCTCTATCAATAAAATAAATATTAAGAAACTGTCACAGTAAGTACATAATTTGAAAATCAATCTTCAGGAATTTTACGACAAACCTCTTCAAATGATTTGAAAATAAAACTTTTTTTCCTAATCCAAATTATAAAATAATTTATATCTCTAAATAATAATAAATAAATTATCTATTAAATAAATAAATTTCAATAAATCATATTATGCAGTAAAAGTATATATTGTTATTTATTAATATTGTTTTATATTTCATTACATCTTAAGTTTATTACTTATAAAGAAAATGAGAAAAAAAGAGAAATATTCTGCAAATCAACCATAAAGTGAATCTTAATCTCCAAAGGTGGGAATTGAACCTATACTGCATTCTATGGAATACTTCCATTCAAAATAATAAATTTTTGCAGCAAATGAGAATAAGCTGTTCAAATAATAGATAATATAAATTGTTGCTTTACTTATAATGTTCAATTAATCCAGCACATAGCACTGTCCTGGTTTGAATAGTAAATATATCTAACAGATATAAAACATTAATGTTAGATTAAGTAGAAGAGTAATATTGTATTTCTATAATATTGCAAAAATATATTATATATCTTCCTAAAGTATTATAGTATTAAATTTAAAGAAGGTAGAAACATCATTTATTCATTTTTATTGATTATGAGGATGCTTTTGTAAAAGTATATTACCATAAAATATCCTAATAGATCTCACTTAGTATTTTTCTTAAATATTCTGTTCGATTAAATGGCAATTGAATCCAAAAATTCCAGATTTGCTTAATATTAATGGATATATATATAAGAATAAATGGTAAAAGAAAAAAAAACGTTAATGCTAAGTTGATATAAGTATATATATTTTTTTTATACCGTGCCCTGTATTTTATATTTCCTTGTGATCCATACTAATTATAAATTTTTTTCTAACTTATTCCCTCTCATTTAAGCCATTAATTACATAATTCGGAAACACAATATTTGTAGCTATGTACACAGATTATGTAGCTGTTCAATATTTTAATATGTAAAGAGGATCTGTAGGTAGATAAAATTATTTTTGTAAAGAAAAACAAATCTTTAGTTACGATGTATATAAGTTGAGCATACTTTATCATCTGGGGCCAGCAGAATATTGAGTTTATACTAGATGGACAGTATTTTCTACACTAAAATATAAAAATGTATTTCATTTTGAAATTTAAATATACAAAATAATTTATTGAATTGAGCAGGTTCCTTTTCAAGTGTTGTACCAAAACTGATCATTTGTCTAAGAATTATCCTGTGAAAATCAAGCTTAGAAATTTTATATGGTCGATTGTATTAAATTTGCAATAAAATTATTTTTGGTCATAAATTGATTAGCCTTAAAATAAGTATGCAGGACTCCTTGTCTTATCATAAGAACTGGTAGAACAGCATATTCTGTTAAATAAACTACTGAAGGTGGACCAGTAGATGTTCACATAAAAAAAAAAGCATTTTTTTTCTTTAATAATATTTTCAAGTACTTTTTAGCAAAGAAAAAAATAAGAATTCAATTTATTTAATACCTTAAAAACTATTTAAAAGAAAATAATTTGATGAATCATCACTTTTATTACACATTATTCAGAAATAACATTAATTGATTAAAATAATTTATTTAAATTTTTTTAATGTATATCAACTGTTTCTACTCTCATAACTTCTTTCCTTGCCAAAATAAACCTATTTTTTAAGAAATTCATCATAAATCACCATTTCATGGTGCATAAGTTTTTTTTTTTTTTTTTTAATTAATCAGAAAATAATTTTGGTATATAAAATTATGGTAATTGAAGAAATGACAAAAATATATATTAATAGGATCTGGAAAACAACTCAGTTATGTTCTTAAAAAATAATATGTTTAATTATTATTTTAAGATCAATGTATATAAAGACGGATATAACTCTATATTTAACAGAGTTGGCTTCATTTCATGTTTTATTCTGTTAGATGGGAAATAATATTAATAACTTTATGACACAATGTTACATTGCGATTAAATATTCTCATGCAAATAGTGAGGAAATAAAAAAAATATATAAGGATGCCAAATATTTCAGAGCACTAATTTAATTATTCAGTGTTTCATTAAAAAAAAATACATAATTTTAGATTACATATGCCCATAAAGCTGAATCAGATTGGTAATATTCATTTATACACTGTTGTTTTTTCACTTTTAGATATTACAATATTATTGATGATATATATACTTATTTGTAACCTATATTTCCTTCAGGAAACAAGGAATTTTACTATTTCAGTTTTAACTGAAAATTACTTTAAAATTGACAGTATTTTTTATTTAAAAGAGGGCTATGGTAGATCTTGAGACAGCTTTATGAAAACAAGAGAACAAATAACTTTTGAAATATTAAAAAATCTTAAAATTATCTATGAGTTTGGTCTCATATTAAATATCAGGTACAACATAACATAAGCATCATAAATATTAATTTATACTTGTTTCAATTGATTCTGAATTAATAAAATTAAAAAAATATTTAATAAAAAGTTAAATAAATTAATTATATTTTAATATTTCAAAAAATCAGGAATTATACGTTTATTTTAAACTTATATTGACTGATTCATAATAACTTATATAATCCATTTTGATAGAAAATAATATCTATTGCCTATAGATAACAACAAATAATGATAAGTACATTAAAATACTTTTTTGATTGTAAAAATATTTTGTTTTATAGATGATTTTTTTTTTATTTATCAAAAGCCATAAAGATCGGCTTTTTTTTTTTTAGAGACGATTAATCCTAGAAGACTTTAAGTAACCAAAATATATACATATTAAGAAATGAATCATTTAACAAGTCAATTAATGAAATAACAAAAAACACAAGTAAATGTCCAAAATTTATATTTGTACAAAAAGCATTCAAAGTATGAAGTTTACATAAATAAACTAATAATAAATAAATTTTTACAAAGAAATCTGTGAAACAATAATAAGTACACAATTATTTTAAATAATATAATTTTAACAAATCTTAAAGCAATAAACTTAATCAAATCACTGAATAAAAATAATATATAAATCCAACCAAGGACTAGAGGATCTAGGATCCAATTTTGTGAGGAGGGGGCTTCAGCCCGAAAGCTTTTTTTTCATATATATAACGATAATTATTTTATTTTTTTTAAATGAAAAAAATTAACTACCTATATGAAATAGTCTTTAAGTGATTCTTGAAGTTCTATTAAATGTAATTACACAAACAATAATACATTAAGAGATAATTTTTTCTATAAAACATGTTTACATTTTACCAGTTAAGGGGGGAGAGAGGGGAGGGAGGGCTTCAGCCCGAAAGCCTCCCTTAGATCCATCTGTGCAACCAAGAAAGAGGAACACGGCATAAATAAACAATATTATTATTTAATTTTAATTAAAGCTTTAATTAATAAATAAAATTGATATCTCAAATAAAAATGTATAATTAAAATATCTTTTACTATTAAATAAATTATTTGGTTAAATCACAGTTAGCAGTCTATGTGCTTTCATCTATCACAAGTAGAATAATACTAGAGTGTTAACTCATATTATTCAACATTCCTATTAACTAATGGAAATTTTAAATTAACTTAAAAGTTATTTATTTTTTCAATAATTCAATTACAAGTAATTCTTATTAAGTTTCTAAATGTTCTAACAATCCGTTACAGGCTTATATTGATTACTAAAATTATTCAACTTCTTCTATTGTTGGACCAGAGTCATCTTCTCCATAATTCCTGGACCCCCTTCCATGTAGCTTGGACATAAAAGGTGTACATTCCCTTTGTAGTTGAAGATATTTTTCTTGATATTCATCTTTGTCAGCTAGGGTATTATTTTCTAACCATTTTAGACCTTCTTGACATTTCTTGAGTATTTTCTGCTTTTCAGAATCATTTAGTTTTCTTCCTGACTCTTCTGTCGCCTGTTTTACACTATATACATAATTTTCAAATTTGTTTCGGGCAGCAATCCTTTCTCGTTGAATATCATCTTCTGCTTTGTACTTTTCTGCATCCTGTACCATTCGATCAATTTCAGACTTTGATAGACGACCTTTATTATTTTCAATTTTTATGTTTCTAGATTTCCCAGTGCTCTTGTCTTTAGCAGAAACATTAAGTATTCCATTAGCATCTATATCAAATGTGACTTCAATTTGAGGAACTCCTCTAGGAGCTGGAGGAATTCCCGATAAATCAAATGTTCCTAAAAGATTGTTATCTTTGGTCAATACCCTTTCACCTTCAAAAACCTGAACAGTTACAGCTGGCTGATTATCAGAATATGTAGTGAACATTTGAGTTTGTGTGCAAGGTATACGGGTATTTCTTTCTACAATCTTAGCCATTACTCCACCAGCCGTTTCAATTCCAAGAGAAAGAGGAGCAACATCAACTAATAATATATCTTGTATTTTGGAACTACTGTCACCACTGAGTATAGCACCTTGAACTGCAGCACCATAAGCAACAGCTTCATCAGGATTAATAGACATGTTTAATGCTTTTCCATTAAAAAAATTTTGCAGAAGATGCTGTATTTTAGGAATACGAGTTGACCCACCAACTAATACCACATCATGAATTGAAGCTTTGTCTAGCTTAGCATCTTGTAGAGCTTTCTCTACAGGATTGATGGTCGACCTGAATAAATCGGAACAAAGCTCTTCGAACCGTGCTCGACTTATTTTAGTGTAAAAATCAACACCATCAAAAAGAGCATCAATTTCTATTGAAGCTTCTGTACTTGATGAAAGGGTTCGTTTAGCACGTTCAGCTGCAGTTCTCAGTCTACGAAGAGACCGAGCATTATTTTTCAAATCTTTTTTGTACTTCCTTTTAAATTCTTCAGCAAGATGATTAACGAGCCTACTATCAAAATCTTCACCACCTAAATGAGTATCACCTGCAGTTGCTTTCACTTCGAACAATGAACCCTCATCGATGGCCAGTAATGAAACATCAAATGTACCTCCACCAAGGTCAAATATCAATACATTTCTTTCGCCTTTAAGATTTTTATCAAGTCCATATGCCAGAGCAGCTGCAGTAGGTTCATTTATAATTCTCATGACATTCAAGCCTGCTATGGCTCCAGCATCTTTAGTTGCCTGCCTTTGTGAATCATTAAAATAAGCAGGAACAGTTATCACAGCATTTTTTACTTTAGAACCTAGGTATGCCTCAGCAGTTTCTTTCATTTTTGTTAAAACCATGGAGCTGATTTCTTCAGGTGTAAAACGCTTAATTTCCCCTTTATATTCCACTTGAATTTTAGGTTTAGATTTATCATTTACTACTTTAAAAGGCCAATGTTTTAAATCACCTTGTATTTTAGGATCATCATATTTGCGGCCTATTAACCTCTTAGCATCAAAAACAGTGTTTTGAGGATTCATGGCCACTTGATTTTTAGCAGCATTTCCAATCAATCTTTCAGTATCAGTGAATGCAACATAACTTGGTGTAGTTCTATTACCTTGATCATTAGCAATTATTTCTACTTTCCCATGCTGCCAAACACCAACACAGGAATATGTAGTTCCCAAGTCAATTCCGACTGCTACCATTATTAAAGTTAAAGTAAATCAATCAACAATATTAAGTAGGAAATTGCAACGAGAAGCGACTTCGATCAAACGAGGAGTGTTACTGCGCGTAACCAAGTGACCTTAAATTTAAATATACTCTCCCACGGTCTGGAAGTTTCTAGACAATAATAGCCCACACCCATTGGCCAGTAATCAGCAAAGTTGCCTGTACATCACGGCAATGAGAACAGCCTAGTACCATCTTAAAATTTGTATATATTAAAATATTTAGAAACATTTTATCAATCCTTGACTTCTTTTCTACGAACCACCTTTAAGGAAAATTATTAAGTTCTGAACATATCAATGGAACTTTATTTAAATCACTTTCAATTTTCTCTAATAGAATAAATGTTCCTATTCACAAAAAAACAAAACCAGGAGGAAACTAAAATTCCATCAGTTCTATTTCTTGCTATCAATTCCTCTTAGCAATGTTATTTACATTAAAAAAAAAATAAAAATATTTTACGCGTATATTTCTTTATAAAAAACGAAAATAAAATATGAAAGCAATTCTGGATTATTTTAATGAAACGTCAAATTAATTGAACGATTGACCTGTTCTTCAATGATTAAATAAAATTAAAATATGAAAACTAGTTTCATAACACGAAAGCTGAAAATTTAATTTTTAATAAAAGAATTTTTAAATATTTTTATTAGAAGATATTTTCATATTTTTTCTTTGTTTCTTCTATCGATTCAATATAATAATCGATTGAACCATTTTTGGCACAAAACGTGTTGAGGTTTTGGTTTACGGGAAGGTAATCCTATAAACAGTGCATTGTGTCAAAACTTCTTTTCTTATTTTTTAATACCTACTGTGATAATGTTAGTTTAAACACCATCATGTCTATATTTAAAAAAACTAATGTGAAGATCTTCGCTAAACCTACTCAGAAAACAACACCAGATACTTTATATTGGAGAAAACTTGGGGTAAGCATGAAGTGCAATTTGTTCTACAAATTACACATTCGCTTTAAAAAATTACAACTTTATTATTTTTAGGCTCCAGTTTTGCTGAAAGAATTTGGCCCTATTGATTATATAGATTTTTCTCCCGTTGAACCACATTTTTTTGCAGTTTCAAGTTCAGCCAAGGTAAGCTACCTGTATTCATGGATAGAAAACATTTCTCAAAATAGTATTCTACTTAAATTTCTGTGTTTCAGGTTCAAATTTATAATCCTGTCACTAAACTTGTTCATAAAACATTGAGTAAATTTGTAGAAAATGCATACGGTGGTTCATACAGGTCTGATGGTCAGTTATTATGTGCAGGAAGTGAAGATAGCAATGTAAAAATATTTGATGTCAACACTAAATCATTGTTAAGGGTATTTAAAGGGCATAAAAGGTACTATATGTTTATTAATTTACTTTATAGTCTATATTTGTGTATTTAAAAACAAATCTAAGAATTTATTTTAATATTTAGGAGATTTCTAAGGACTCTTTATTATGACTTTTTGATATTAATTATTTTAAATTTTCTAGTGGTGTTCATCGATCATATTTTACATCTGATAACAAAAGTATTGCAAGTTTCTCAGATGACAAAACTGTTAAAATTTGGGATGTTGCATCCGAATCTGAAACAATTGAATTTTCATCTCATGAGGTAATCTTAGTATTATTTATTTCGTAAATAGCTATTGAATGTCGTTGTATATTTTTTTTTTACTCGCAGGATTATGTGAGGGCTGGTGCTGTATCTCCAGTTTCACCAACCATTGTATTGTCTGGTTCGTACGACCGAAAAGTTAGGCTTTTCGATTCTCGTACTAATGCAGAAGCTGTTTTTACCTTAGATCATGGATATCCTGTTGAAAGTGTTCTTTTCCTTCCATCTGGTGGAATATTACTGTCTGCAGGTGAAAATTACTTTTATTTCATTATACATAATGCACTCTTGTTTGTTAATCTGTAAATTTTAGATTTAGTTTACCATGAATCTAACCTCAAATTTTACTTGAAATTAAAATATATATATATATATATATTTATTCAGAACCAATCTTGCAGAGGAACTTCTAGCAATGATAATTTTATATAAAGATCTGTTGATTATCAAACTCAATCAATTATATTCAATATTAGCTCTTGGAATAACAGTGAAAATTTTATCATTTTTTGTTGTTCCATAAGTACTGTAGAAGATAGGTTTTATTAATATTTCATAGATAGACTAATTAATTGTTAGTTAGATAGTTATAAGATTTTTAAAGTAGGTTAAGATGAAGACTAAGAGTCACTTTGCAAATTGTAAAGTCAAAATAGAATTATGTCACATAATGAATACCCCGTGTACTTATTATATACTACCACTTGTTATTATAAATTTTTTTATGTGATAAGTAACATAACCACCAAAAGAAAGCTATGTAGATTTTGAAAGTTAAGTTTTCTTTATATTTTTTTCTTTTTGTCCATCTTTAGTGATTTTCAGTGTAGAGAAAACCCTTTTAATCATGAGTAAATATTCTGAGGCGTTTAAGTAAATGTACCTGTAATAGACACTTTCAGAGACATTTTCAACATTAATGTGAACCACAGCTTAAGTTGTTGGATTTTTGCAAATGGGTTTAATTTAATTTATTTATTCTTCCCTGCCTTGCCTTTCGGATACACGGGTTTTGCAGAGATGGTATATCACACAACTATGTGTATGCCATCCCTGCTATTAAACATACAAGACTTGAAACAATAACATTCTTTTATCAATTTTGTTGTTTCTGTATAGACAATTAGTTTATTATTCATGAAAAACTTAGGTAATTCTGACACCAAGTATTGCACCCGTAATAGACAGCCAGGTTTTGGGATCAACAGTTTTTTTAATAATTATAAAATAATAATAACTTATGCTGTTTTAAACTAAGAAATGGCAAGGTACAAATGAATTTATCAAAATTTCAAACCTATTTCCTATAGAAAAGTGATAAGGAAACCTTCCTGAAACAAATATCACCTGAAATCAACTATTGTGCCCACACTCCTAAGTGTTCTAGCTGCAAACCTTTGTTTTGCAGTCAAAATATTTGCTCTATTACTCAGATGTATAAATCTTATTATTTGTCAATGAGCTGAAAACTGTTACTGGTACATTTACTATATATTTCTTTAAATCAGTTTTATTCCATAATGAGTTAGTCCAACATGTCTGGACTGTATGAGCGACATTATATTCCTTGGTTCTTTAAAGAATACATGTGCTTTGTTCTGAGTCCTTGTAATCATTAATCTTACCAGGTTTAAATAGCTGTTGTCCCAATTATTTTTTAAAATTTAATATAAACACAGGTAATTAACTGAATATAGGTTAATAATTTATATTGCAATACAACTGTCTTTTTTTTTGTTATTTTAATTCTAGAACACTAGAAATTATGCCTGCAGGCCACCAATTTGGTTTGCTTATTATAAACATTCAGATCACTCAAACAACTTTGATACAATCTCAAACAGTCACAAATCTTGAATAATATAAAAGCTTTATTGTTTTAAAACTAATTTCTTACTTGTGAAAATTAATTTCAGGTGGAACAGAAATAAGAGTATGGGATGCTCTTGCTGGAGGAAGATTGTTAGCTAGAGTTTCTCAACATCATAAAACTATCACATGCCTTGGCTTAGCTTCAAGCGGGAGTCGCCTTGTTTCTGGTTCCTTGGACAGGCATGTAAAAATATACGATGTTTCGACGTATAAAGCTGTTTATAACTTGGACTATCCAAATGCTATCCTTAGCCTGGGTGTCAGTGTAAGTGTGTTAAAAAAAAAACAAATTTGTATTTTGCATTATGTCCATTAATCAGAGATGGGCAAAATCGGAATCAATGATTACAACTCCAGGTTTTTTTTTTAAATTTAAGTATTGCCAGTAACTTTTAATAAAAGTTATTTCTAGTAAAATAACAGTTATTATTAGAAGTCATATGTCATAAAAGAATAAATTTTTTGTTTGAGTGTTTCAACTGCCTCCCGCAGTGCTACATCCTACGCCCTGAAGACGACCTACAAAGCGGATCGAAACGTCGGCAAAATTAAAATAATTACTATGTTTTAATTTAGTATTTATTTGACCGCACCCCCGACTAACTCCTTCTCATATTATATCAACAGTCAACCATCTCTGCATCATTATGAATACATTTTTTATTGAAAATTAATATTAAATAATAGATAAACATAAAATAGGTTAACTTTAAGAATAACAAATATTTAACAGTATTAATCTTCATGGGGCCAAAGGTTTCTCACTCCCTCTAATATATTATCAAATAAATAGAAACCTTCAAATTTTCTCCAAACAATAAATATATGAGTCAAGCATACTTCTTCTTATTCCACACTCTATTTAATTGTGTCTTTAACACTTGACCTTAAGTATTCCACTGTTTGTGTGTATTTAATTTTAAGAAGTTCATTATTTTTTTTTTTTTTTTAATTTCACACTCAATAAAACAAGACATACCTTCATGATTCAGGTTATAACCTCATTAGTTCAATCATAATAATTTATTAAACTATTTGGCCCATGCGAATAATTCGTAAAATATATTGTCTAGTGAAGGAATAGCAAAATAATATAGAAATAAGTAGATCTTATGTATTATGTGAGAAAGGAATTAATTATATTTTTCTTGGTCAATATTTCATTTAACATAACAGATCAAAATATTTGTACAAACTACTTTTCTGAGGGATATTTTAAATTATTAAAGAATTAAAAATGTTCCAACAAACAAATGCCTTTAAGAAATAATAAAGTATATATCAGAAAGGAAAACAGTGGTGGCAGAATAGAAAATGCAGTTTATTTGAATAAGAAGATATAATAATGTATAATGCAAAGATGTCATATGATTACAAACGCAATCATTGATTGTGATTATGCCCATCTATTAATCCATTTATTTAAAATATCTAGACAAATACGAAACTATTTATTTTTAATGCAGTATAAGTCTAACCTAACAGTTTGAAGTTTATAATAGATATGTCAACTGTTTATTACGAAAAGTTACTGAGTACATTTTTGATGGAGCTAAACTTTTAAGTAGATTTTTATGAACTTTGATGTCATTTGTCAATGCAAAAACGCATTAAGTATACAAACCCTTTTATTTATCTAAAATTGTTACTTTAAGTGCAAAACGTTCTCGTTTAACAGAGATAAAATTCATCAAAGTATTTAGTGATTCAATTCTATAAAATGTTAAAGCTTTTGCAATAAACCCACGACATTATTTTCTTAACTATTTTTTAAATTTGAAGTTTAAAATAAATGTTTTGATTTTATTCAACTTTTCTGTACTAATGAATTTTGTTCTCTATGAATTATGTGTGTCTATATTATGTTCTCTACAATTAAGGTGAAAGATTTATATGTTGTTTATCTGACTTTTATCATTAAGTCATTTGTTTTTGAGTATTGAATGTCATTAAGTACTCAAATTAGAATAGGAAGCATCAGATATCTACAGGTTTCCTAATCTATCCATTGTGAGATGGTCGAGCGTGTTAAAGCATTGCTAGCATCTATATCCCAGTTTGTCAGAAATAGTCACTAATTCGTTATATATTATAGTTGCTATGATTCATTCTGTGGGTGTACTGTTTATGACTTGAGATTGCTTAGGTGTTACCTTTACACACACAATGGCCTCTAATCAAATCATTTAATTTTGCAGCTAAAACATTTTTTTTTTCTTATTACTAAAAGGTTTTAATTTTCTTTTTCTTTCTAGCCTGATGATGAAACAGTTGCTGTAGGGACTGTCGATGGTATTGTTTCTGTGAAAAGGAGAGAGATAGAAAACGTTGAGAATGAAGAAGTCAAACCAAAGAAAAAAAGTAAAGGTTCTTATCGTTACTTCAGTGATAAATTCACTCCTGCACAGAATGTGGACATTGTGATTAAAAAAGATTCAAAACAAGTGCAGTCAAGATACGATAAATGTCTTAGAAAGTTTCAGTATTCCAAAGCATTGGATTCTGTGCTTGCACCATATGTAATGAACAAAACGCCTCACGTTACAGTATCCTTATTACAAGAATTGATCAGGTAATTTCTCTATATATACTTCCTTCTTAAATTTTCCAAATACTTATTCTTATATATTTAAAATCTATCTCTACCATTTATGATTGGTTCTGAATGTCTTAATATATTTTCGGTTGCCTAAATCAACCTGAACCTTTGTAAATATATATAGCTCAGGATATTGCGGCAGGTAGCTTTGTCCTGATGTTTTGTCAAATTTGTGATAATAATAATAATACGCCAGAAGGTGAAGTTAATGTATTTTAATTACTGACAAAAAGTGACTTTTCAAAAATGTCCACTTTTATGATCGAGGACTTTTTTTTCTTATTAACCACATAATGATCTGCATTAATGAGCAGTCATTTTATTGAGTTCAGTATAGTAAAAAATCTTAAAATGGAGCTGTAAAAGTTAAGAGTTAAGAAAAACTATAATCTTCAACTTATATTTTTCATAAGTTGTCTTCACTTTTTTCTTTGAACTCTCAGCCGTATAATTATCAATGTCTAGTTCTGATTCAACATACAAAATATACAGCTTTAAGGCAATGAGAGAGGCCTATAGATTTTTTTTTTTAATCTCAGGCGTACAAATTTTAAAAAAATATGTGATGGGTCATTTATAATACAAAAGAAAAACAAACTAAAATGAAGTTGCAGATAAAAGAGATATATTGTCTTTTCCCCTTTTTATTAATTTCATAAAAAATAAAAATGTATTGAAATTCTTTAAATTTCTACAAAAAACTATTTTAATATTCTCAAGCATAGTTAATTTGAAAAAAAATAAAATAAAAAATATGGATGGCCTACCAAAGCCGTTGTCAAAATTGGTGGGTAAGGTTCTGAAGTAGGAAGTAATACCACTTAAGCTGCACAAGGGCATGGATCATATATTTCCAGAAGTTCTGAGCAAAGTGAGGAAAAAATAATGAAGAAACCGTTCACAAAAAAATTCTCTCAATTTATTATTAATATTAATTAGTGTGCATTAAATATAAGAATTTTATTTGTGAAAGTTATAAGGCTGTTCTTTTTTTAATGATTCTAAATTAATACTACATTTGTGAGGTTTTATTTTGCATTGTAATCATGTAACTTCTAATTTAAATGATTTTGCTCAACAGGAGAAAAGGGCTTGAGAATGCACTTGTATCCAGAGAAGACAAGAGTATCGGTGTTCTCATACGTTTCTTGTTAAGGCATATCGGTGATTACAGATTTACAGCTACTCTTATTGATGTGTCCAACATTTTATTAGGTATTTATTTCACTTTTTGCTGTAAAATTTTCATCATTTTATATAGTACTCATTGTTAATCTATATTATTTTTAAATGCAAATTTATTCTTGCTATATTACGTATTAGCAATTTAAGTAATTAAAATGTCTTCACCATTAGAAAGATAGTTACACTGTGTTGGTTATGTTGCAAATATAATTTTTATTTTATTATTTTTTTAGATGTTTATGAAAAAAGATTAGATAGTGCATCCATAGAAGTTCTGGAACTTATGAAAAAGTTAGCCAAAAGAATAAAAGAAGAAGAAGAACTTACTCTAGAGTTAGTCAGTCTTGGTGGTGCAATAAGAATGATATTAGCCGCCTCAAATGTCGGTGAAAAACATGAAAAATCTTCTTTACCAGCTCTAACGCCTTCTAATTCAGCACAAAAAAATATTGTTGTAAATGTTTCTTGAAATATATAATTTTTATTATTTGTTTATTTTATTAAATTTGTATATTTTTTTTTCTTATAAAAAATAATCCAGTTTTGTATGAAACTTGGTCAGGATTCATGGTAATTGTTATCTTCTACACTGGCAAATAATTCATATTAAGTAATATGAGTAAGGGAAGAAAGGCTAAATCTAAATTTAATGATCAACTCTGGGATCAGGAAACTGGAGTACACTCACCCTCAATTAAACAATCAATTTAGGGGGGGAGAGCTATTAAATTTACCATGATCCCAGCCTGATCACCTCACTGTACAATCTTTGACCTTGAAACAGTACTTCCTTACTAATTACTGAACCTAAGACTCTTCAGAGATAATCGTGGTTCACGTTTTTTTTTTTAAATATATAAAACCCTAAATAATATGTGATAAGTATCGCATGTCAAGTAGGAAGAATCATTATTATGATGGCCCGTGTATTATCTTGAAAACACTAAATTTTTGAGCTTTAAAATACTGGAATTGAATCTTGATGTCTGCTTAAAAATCTTAGTTAGAGTAAAGACAATTTAATGGAGAAATGACTAATTCCATGGTATAAATCTTTATATCATTTACATTTTTCAAAAACTTATATTTATTTCACTTGTTGTAAAAAGGATCAAAATTGGAATCAGTCATTTCACCATTAAATTGTCTTTACTCTGACACCTCATTTGTCAAAAACCAGTAATTCTAAGAGCTAGGAAAATGTATCTATAAAACAAAATTACATATAGTTGATTAAAAACCTAACTTTTGTTGAGGGTGCAAATAATTCTTAGTAGCTAATGTTCTGGAATAAAACTAATTCACTGAACTATATTGATTTGTTACTATTGTAAGATTCTGTACTTTAATACAAACTATTGAAGGTAAGATTGTAATAAACATGTTTATTACTGAACACTACATTCCTAAATGAAGAGACATCCACCATCTGTACCAGTTACTAGATGGAATATTGGAAAAAGTTGTAATTTAATGAATTGCCTTAATTCTGTTTGTATTGAGCAATAAAATTTAAATTACAGCAAAAACTTAAATGAGGGAAGAATAAAAAAAAGACGTTCAGTAAAAACTTTATTTCATGTCCTAGGAAAAAAAAGAAATCAATTTGGTCAAGGAAGCTGAAATAAAAACCAGCATTTGGTAATATATTTTGTTGCCAAAAGAAATTATTCCTATTTATTATTCACTGGTAGAATTTATTAATAAAATAAATACTGTTACATATTCATTATTAATTTACATTTGTTAATTGAGGTAATAAATTTTATGGAAAGATATATAATTATAGCTATGTTCTTTATTGTTTTCTTCTGTAAATTTTGGTTATACTCATTACCTTAATGCCCAAATCTTTAATTAATTATAATATTCAGGATCTAATTACAATATATTCAATAAAAATATTTCTTTTATCCAGATTTACTTTAAAATAATTTTTATATTTTTGCATCCTATGAAATCTATAGAATTTGATAAATAATTTAGTTTTTTTTTATCTTGAATTGGCAGTTTTTAGTTATTTTTGTATATATACATCGCAATAATATACTCATGAAATTCTCTTATTTTCAGGCTTAATATTGTTTCATAGACTTTCTTCCCTCCCCCATATTTTGTTTATTAAAATAATATTTTAATTTTTCTTCTCCTTTTTCATCCTTATGTTCAATATCAAAATATCCATAACATTGGTACCTGTGTGTCCAATTGTTATCAAATCATCTCCGTTATTAAATTTTTTAAAAAAATTGTAAGAATCATTATCAGAAAGAATTTCAGATATATTAAAACCCTGATCTTTAGCAGTACTAAATTGTCCCTGATATGAAATGGCACCTGCAGAATCAGTTGGGCCATCTATCCCATCAGTCCCTCCACTGAGAAAGGTAATTTCAAAGTCTCTTAATCCATATTCTTCAATTAATTCTTGAATTTGTTCAGAGTATCGCAGTGCAAGCTCCATATTTCTTCCTCCTTTCCCTTTTCCAGTCACATTAACTGTTGTTTCACCTCCGAGGAGCAAAAAAATCTCATCATTTGATGATAAAGCTGCAACAAGGCTTTCAACAGTTTCATTTGAAATCATTAATCCACTTAAATTTTCGATTTCTTGAGCAAATTTGTTTTGGTCAATTTTATTTTGCCATAGCAAACAAACATTCTTTGTTAACGAAGTTAAAGTATCAGCAACATTGACGACAAGCCCCTGAAGCTCACTTGTCAAAATCAAGCTACACTTATTGTTTGATTTAAGGAATTCATGTCCAGAAGCAAGTGCTTTGCTGTTGTTTCCAATTATATATACATGTGAGTTTTGAAATGTCTCAGCTTTTTGTTCATTTTTGTAGTTATTGAGAGCAATACATACATTATCGGATACTTTACTAGATGAAGAATATTTTTCAAGGATCCTCAAGCCTGAACCTGAAGTATCCTCATTTTGTACAGTTGGGCCGCTGGCAATTGTGGCAAGGTCGTCACCAACAACATCTGAAAGAATTAGTGAAATCAGTTTGCATGGATATGCCACTTCAGCTAATCTTCCACCTTTGACCTGAGAGAGCTGCTTTCTTACAGTATTCATTTCATTTATTGAGGCACCTCCACGTGATAGCAACTTAGTTACAGCTATTTTCTCCTCAAGTGTAACGGGAGGAGTAGGATAGGTCAGTAAGGCTGATCCTCCGCCTGATATCAAAACTAACATTACATCATTAGCAGTAAGATTTTTTGCCAATTCAAAAATCTCTTTAGCAGCATTGTAGCTATTTTCATCAGGAATATTATCCTTTGCTCCTTGAAATATCTTGAAAACTTTGCTGTTCAAAGTGCTACACTTTAATGGGTCAAGACTGCCTTTCGGTATGCTTATAACGCCCTTTTGAATATGATTTCCTAAAATTGAATCAATTTCACATGCCATGTCAAAGACAGCCTTTCCAAAACCAATGACATAGCAGTTCTTTGCTAATGTATAAGAATTGGAACCAATCTTAAGTTTATTATCTTCCAGTTTTAGCTGCAATTGCAGTAATTTTCTGGGTTTCACTGAGTCAACAATATGTTTGAAAACTAACCTTAAAAACAGTTTTGCTTGCTCATTGACCATTCTTAACTAGAAATAAAATTATTAGCAATTTTTTTTAAGTATAAAACAATTAAGATGTATAAACATAAAATAACGTAATAGTTATTGTATTAAGGAGTCCCAGTGTTTTTAAAAAATAAGTTTATCCTGAGACAAAATAATCATAAAATGTTGAACCACTTAACAATGATTATATCAAATTTCAATTCGGTCAATGAAGATTAAATCAATTGTTATCTTTTTACTATTATTAGTTAAAACTAAAAATTGTTTTAACTCAAAAGTCGTCATGGATAGTCCGACAGTTGCTGAAGTCCCAGATTCTGTCGATTAGTTCGTTTTTGTTTTTATTTTTATTCTTTTGTAAGACTAATTAAATTAAAATTTATACCCGCTCTGAGGATTCCATACAACTTTTGATTATCAAATTTCAAGTAATTAACTATTTAACTTAAAGTCGTATAACCTATTAATACGATTTAAGTATTAGCTCTATTCACATAATTTAATTACTTCAGCTTACATACAGAGAATATTCCATTTACCTAAACTCATTTCTATTATAATGAAATGGGCATACACGTAATCATAAATATAATTTTGAATATACTCAACTAATAACTTTTTTTTTACGCAAAGTGCAAGAACACGATCGTGTGAATATGAAATACATTACTATTCAAAAAACGTGAACATGAATATTGAAATATATTTATATTTACAACGCTACTAAAATTTACAGCTATAAATACAATACTCATATTCATAGGCGCAAATATCAAAATGTTTGTATTCATATTCATTAAAAAATTGTATATGTTCGTCTACATATTAATGATTACGAACAAGCCCATCTATGCTTTTAAATAAATTCAAATAATTTGTAAAGACTGTAATTCTCAATGAAAATAATGTTAATATCAATCAATCTATAAAACCAGTATTATATTTTATTTATTACTTAGGTCAACTCAAGCCTGAGGTGAGCCCCATCACCTTTATATTACAGATGAAGAACGAAATACTGAGAAACGACAAAAAATAAACCTTAAAATGCTTTTAAGCAGTAAAAGGACTATTATTAAGACAATCCAAGGATTAAAGACAAAAATAAATAGAAAGGGGGTATGAAAAAAAAAGACTAATTACTTAATAAAAATGACTTTAAATTATAACTAAAGAACTGCTGTGGCCCACAGGAGGAGAAAGGGACAATTTTCACTCCTAAAATAACTATTGAGGGAAAAAAAGGGTTTTTTAAATATATTTACCAGTGCCTGTACCCGTTAATAACTAATTATTACTCATTAGGCAGGAGTATTATCGTTTAATAAAAATTTCGCCTAAAGACAATATACCTCACAAATATACAGTGGTCAGGGGTGTATCCCCCCAAGGTCGATGGCGCAAGAAACTATCTCCCCACTCCCAAGATATTTCATTGCTCACTTTTTCTTAAAAACAGAGCAAGCGAAGATAGAATTCGAAAAATCGTAGGTCATACGCAATTGCACTTGCTGCGGTCTGTTCCATATTTTTCCTTTGTCCCTTAGTAAGAAACTTTTCATTTCGAAAATTCATAACCCCGCTGAAATGTGGCTCCCTCAAAAATAAAAAAAATGCTAAAATATGTCCCCCTCAAACTCTCTAATGGGTACCCCTGACAGTGGAAACCATTACAGTTCCCCTCCCCAAAACTATTAGGACCCGTTTCTGCAAAACATAAGACAAACCTCTTTATTTGCCCCTTTGTCCGTAACTTTTTTTTTTTTTTTTCCTAACAAGATTGTTAGCAGATTAGAGCATGGCGCAAGATATGCTCCCTCAAAAATTTTTATAGCACATTTGCACTATGAAACCCCCTTGGGCACCTCTGAGTTAAGTGGTCGCCAAACATTTTGTGACCTCGACTAAGTTCCGCGAGCCATTTTAAGACCTTCACCCAAGTCCCGCTGGTCACGCTTTGTGATGAAAAAAAAATCTTGTTCAATAAACGATACTTCAGCTGTGAAATGAGCTTTCTAAGAGAGAGAAAAAAAAACATACAATAAATATTGTAGCAATCTGTGTAAGTAATTGGTCGAATTTCATATATTAAAACGTTTTTAAAACTTTACTGGGGTAATGAAAGAAAACCTCCGCGGTTCGGATTGAAGGTGCTTGCGGGCCGTAGTCTGGAGACTCCTGCTCTAATTCATTTCCCAGCAATCGTTTAATAATCTAGACTTCCGTGCTCAGTAAACATTCAATCATTCAGCAAAAATACGCTGAACAATTTGAAGCTGAACAAGGCCACCGCAACATGAGAGCTCAATGAAAGTTGTGGCGAGATAATGCTTTTGAAAATTGAGTTAATCACAGGATTTGATGTTCGAAAACAGCGAATCCTCTCTTCCTCAAGGACAAGGAAGGCTTCTTCTACTACAGCTTTTCATCTCCCAACGATTTCATTAGCATGAATCAGTATTTGCTCTATAAATTTATTGATCGTTCTACTGGCCTATATCATTCATTCTTTGGTCCTTTACTTTATACCAATTTGGAAGAGAAGATAGACAAGGGAACATCGTTATCAAAGGCTAGACTTTCACTAGATCCATTTTAACACGCACTAAACCGAATATTGCTCATCGTAAGTTTTACTATGTGGATAATTTTAATAAGCCTTTCATTTCTTGATAAAGAGGCTTACGTTTAATGCTGTGGTAAGCGGACCTGAAATAAACTAATAAATAGTGTGTTTGGATTTGGTATGGCCAACGTAATGCTGGTCTTCCCCGCCCCTATAGGGAGAATATTTGGCCAGTTGTACTTTCAGAGTTAACTTTACAAAAGCCACTTTAATATTTTTCCAGAAGTCTCTCAATATGAGAATGCAATCGTTAGTGAAATATATTTTAAAATATCGATACGGATACACTGGCCGCATACTACTAAATTAGTCAAGTGTAGCACCTACACAACCCATCCAAATAGAGCAATTGGAAAATTTGGCAAATGTTTATCATAAGAGTGACCATTATACACTTATACCGTATTACAGGCGCATGGTAGAAGAAATATGCTCCCTTAACTATTGCAACTAAGTTTTATTTTTTTTAGAATAGTACACAAAGTAATTCTCTTTCCATTTTCCTCAGTCGAGATCTCTACGAAAAAATTGTGTAACATTGGGGAAAGCTGATATTAACTCTGCCCACGGGCGGATCTACGGAGGGGGGAGAGAACTTTCGGGCTGAAGTCCTCCCCCTTCCTCCCCCCCCTCCCAAAATGGTAAAATATAACCACGTTTTATCGACAAAAATATTAAAAAAGTATCTCTGTAAGTATTGTTGTTCGTGTAATTACATTTAAAAGGGCTTTAGGAATCACTTAAACACCATTTCATACAGGTAGTTAGTTTCTTTCTTTTTTTCCAAAACAATTATCGTTATTTTTATGAAAAAAAGAACTTTCGGACTGAACCCCCTCCCCCCCCCCAAATATGGCTTTATTGAAACATGAATTGATAACTCTCATTCTTCCTAATGATGGCGTGGCTACACACCACGTCGAACTACAGCTACAGATCTTTCCCCCGGCTGGTTGTGGCTAATAAATTCCTTTCCAATGTCAAGGATAGTTTTCTCATTGGACAACCACATCTCTGTCTTCTGCAAGTAGCGCATCAGAGAGGTTTTAATCAATTTTCTGTATACATGCTTAACCAACCTCTGGTTCCTTAAACTTTATTAAGTTGAACTTCTTACAGTTTTATCCTCACCTGTTGTTGACTATTCATATTTTAGAGCTGACTTATAAAATTGTTGGAATCCATATTAGTACTTGTAAAGTTCTGACGTCGAGAATATTTTAAATCCATGCATTTCTGACGCAAACGTTTGTTAGAAAGTATTCAATTTCGTTAATTGTGTTTCCATCGAGAGATTGCCACATGCTCTGATAGATTCTTTTGCAGGAATATACTGCGGTCAACTAAATGATTTTGTGATGCACAGAAGTAAACAAGACTTTTTTTGACATAGACGTAATATATGTTTACCGATGGTTAACAAATAGATCGCATCGCTACCAACAATCACATTACATCAAGTTTGAATGACGAAATGCTTTAATAGTCTTTTCTAACAATTCATAGTACTTTTCTTTCTTTGCCATTGTAATCTAATGTTTCAGTCCGGCTATGGTAGCAGGAAAAAAAAAACATACTCTTATACACTTCTTAAAGGGCTTATAGGATTGATATCAGATGACTTTTAGTTTCCTGAAACGAACCCGGTTACAGATATGAAAATTATGAAATTTACACTTCTAAAATTGCGACTAAATTTATGGTCAACAGACTAATAGATCAAGGGACCCAGATTGATTCATTCACCTTCAAAAAAGTTAATGAATTAACTTATCTTCATTTACACATAGCTGTATAAGAAATGATAAACCCATTGTAATATAAGCCAGAAGTCAATGACCAATTCATGAGGCTTATAAATAGGATCTTGAAATTGATTTAGCAGGTTATGGATTCTTATAGGCATGAATCCTTGGTCTACCTGGTCTTGATTCAAGGAGCTAAGGTATTAAACATTGATGGAAGCTGATTATTAAGATGTAGTCAACAGAATGAAAATCCAATAATGTAGATATGGAGGACAAATATAAAACTGCACAGCCTGTAGAAGGAATCAGCTTAGTTTTGGGGGCAGGAAAGCATTTTGAACAGTAATAACTAGAGAAACATATAATGGTCCATATTTGGAAATTCAATAAGCCACTCTGTCACAGGGTTCACTATGAGAAATAAGGAGAAAAACTACTAGATAAATAATACTAGAGATAAGAAAATACTGGACACGGTAATATTCAATTTACAAAATAATCTTTTTATTCAATTATCCTATACTTATGTCTGGCATACGAGTTGTTAACAAATCTATTGTAATTAGAGTAGGAAGATAAACAATCAGTCGAGGGATCCACCATAAAATAAATTCCAGCCCGCTCAGGCTAGTTCCCAACCGTTGTCACTAGACTCCAGAATGTTAAAGCTTAAGCTTCAACTTGTCCATCACAATCTTATTATTCCATCGCCTATTGCTCCTTATTCCGGCCTATATTCTACTAGTTAACATCATTTTTGTTTTGTTTTAAAAATAATTACTTGAAAAATAGCCCACTTTTTGTTTATGTCAAAAATTTTATTTTTCTCTAAAGGATTAAATTGATTACTATTACTTGTTGGTTATCATCACTGGAAGAGTATGTTTAATGTTAGATGTTGATATTAATTAATCATCTTTAACAAAGCCACATTTTCATTAGTTCTGTTATAACTTATATACCTGCACAAAAAAATTACAAGGACCAATAAAAATGAAGTATGAAAACAACTGTCATTTCTTGTTTGGCTCAAGATTAATATATTCTATACTACTAGACTATATTTTGTAGTACTGGTACTGGAAAATGGAACTAGTGCAGCAAGTCTCTTTTGTATTCACAATTATTCAATTGAGTCAGGGTTCTTTACAATAACTTTATATATATATATATATATATATATATATATATATATATATATATATATATATATATATATATATATATATATGGTTATTTAAATTATTTAATATTTTTTCTTCAGTTTCTAGGGAGATTGACACATTAAGATTGATAAAGGTAAATGGAGCCAACAAACACATCAAACATTATCTGATGGAATACAGAATTAATAACTTTAGGTTGAAGAAAATGCTTGAAGAGACCAAATTCCACAAATAGCATATAAAACCATGAATACAGACAGAAACAACTGTGTATATTATGTCATGTTCTGACATAAATACTTTATAAGGCATTTTTTTCTCTGTTATATAAATATAAAATTTAAAAAAAAAGAAAAGAATTTTTATGAAAAATTAATATTATCATTTATTAAATAATAATAAAAATAAAGTTATAAATTCTTAAATTTATGTACAGAGAAGGTAGTAGATCCACTACAAATTTATAAACACACCACAAATTTTAGTCTTAATCTCTTCTAACGCTTTACATTTGGTAGTATATTACAAACATAGAAAAAGATTCATGTTTTATTAAAATATTTTCAACAAGTATTTAACTTAATGCAACATTAGCATTCAATTTTATGTTTTTAATAATTATTACTACAACATAATAATTAATTACAATTATATCCATAATAAACAAATAAAAAGTATTGAGCAACAAGCACTGAAAATAACATTAATTCAGTAGTGATAACAATTCAAAAAATGTTTCATTTGTTCTAAACTGTTCACAGTAACTTTCAAAGCTTGCAAAAGTTTTTTGGTAGGCTAAAATATACCTGACTTTTTTTTATAATAGTATAAAACTAAGTTACTTAATTTTAGTATTTCTACTAAATAGGCCAAGAAATATGCAAAAGTAAAATCTTAATGTCATAAATCTCAATTATAACCAAATTTATACATATAATAGTAAAGCCTGTACAACTATGATACAATTATAAAACAACTAATAGGATTCAAACTTCAGTAAAATCAACTATAATAAATATTACTTTCCTATATATACAATGATCCATCTGCTGGTCCCAGGTATTGAATAGCAATTAAAATGAAGTCAATGATTGTCCAAACACCTAAACCACCAAAACTAAACAATTTTCCGATTCCTTCTTGCCAGTATCCAAGATAAAACCTAAAACATATAAATCATAATACAATGCTACGCAATTATATACATACAAAAAAAGTTTATTAAGATCTTGCAAAAATAAATCATAAAATTCAAGAAAAACATGTTAAAAAATGTAAGCAGTGGCTGAAAAAATAAGTGTCTGTATTATTTTAGAAATACTGACAGAATTATTCAAAAGCATTACTTGTAATTAAATTGTATTTACTGAATATATATACATAGAAAATAATAATTTAATCAATGACCTAGTGATATTCAAGAAATTTTGAATACTGAATGCTTAGCAAGTTTACTTCCCCGAAAAATATCTTACGCCAAAACAGTTTTATCTACTTTATCAAAACATTACATATTATTTAAATATAGCAGAACTCCGCTTAACCAACCCTTCAGGTTAACCATTGGTAAAAAGGAAAAAAAAATTTAACAATGTTTTCACTGAGTTAATTAGTTTCAGAATTGATGCTATTATAATTTAGTTTGATGATAACTAAACTATTCAAAATAACAGGCCATTAACATAAATAAGAGCAGTGTTTTTAAAATAGTAAATCTTTACCACCAGACAAAAGAGGATTGACAGGATAACAAATTAATGATGAAATAGATAAATAAAAAAAGGGATTAAGAATGTTAATATGATATGTCTTTATAGAAATAGAAAAATAACTTTATTCTGGGATGAAGTCCCCTAAGAATAACAAAAGTTTGCAGAACAAAAGAAATAGTTCTGGCCAGTAGAACTAAATTAAATAAAAAGAGTTACATTAAATAAATTTAAAAAAACTTATGAAACTAACAAAATATACAAAACTGTACTGAAGAAACTATATACAAAATAACTATAACTAAACATAATACAAATAAGAAATTAAACAAAATAATCGCTGCTAAGCTAAAAAATAAATAAAAAGGATTTTAAAAAAATAGGAAGAAAAGCTAAAAGATAAAAAATAAATTCCTCTAATAGATGAGCACCAAGTAAATAAAATAAAATAAATAAAGTAGAGTAAAATATAAAGAAATAAACATTTATGTATTCTATCTTAGAACATATTAAAACATTTATAAATTAAAACAATAAATAAATAAGAAAATAAATAAATTAAGCAACTTTATGAGTAAAACATTCTTGTAGAACAGAAAGGACAAGATATGAAAAACATATATACAAGCTCATAAGTTTATGAGAAGAAGAAATAAAAAAAAAAATATACAAAAAAAGCATTAATTTTTAAACAAGGTACTGACACTTAACATTTAATAGGTGGTTGGCCAATTTCTGACTGTTTTGTAAATAGGTATTGGAATAATAGGGTTTTAAAAGTGGATAAGGAAGGGGCATGATGGATTTTTGTAGGGAAAGAATTCCAGAAGATGTTTTATATAGGCACTAAAAATAAGAGAAGATATGCTGCTTGGGAACGTTGAGATAGGAAAGATAAAAACCATGAGATGGAACTGTTGGAGAAGGATAATGATTTTAATTTTGGGAAGCCGCGGTGATTCGAGGAGCCCAGAAGTGGATCTCTACCGAGAGCCAAGTCATCGGGAAGTTCCGCTTTAAATGGTTGTTGATGATTTTATTCAGACAGATTGTTATAATACTCAATAAAGAAATTTAAAAAAAAAAAAAAAAAAAAAAAAAAATTGGAAAGAGGATTGAATGGTTGATGGAGTCCAAGGGTTTGGAGAATTCAAGGAGGAAAAGGGCAGTTAATTTTTCAACTTTCAACTTCAATAGCAGCCTGGATATCACTGATAATTTTAATTAGGACTGAATTCACGGATTAACTGGGCAGTAACCAGATTGGAGAGGATCAAGTTTAATGGATTCTTCAAGAAAGATGGAGAAATCTTTGGCAGAGGATGGATCAGAGTTTTTATTTAAAGGAAGGACAATGGTTTTTTTTCCAAGGGTAGGAATACAGAGTTCTATAAAGAGAAATTGTAGATGAAAAGGAGAACTGCAAGGATTTCAGGAAGACATAATTTTACAGGAATACCATCTGGGTTGGGGGCGGGGTGGCCGAATGGGCTAATGGCGTGTGCACAGCACTGCTAGTTGGCTGGCAACGGGATAACAGAGATTTGAGATGATTTAAAAAGTACGAGTTTGCGTCCCGGTGCCGGAGGGGATTTTAAATTCCCCGCCCTCACCCCCCAGCCCGGGAAAATCCCGTATAGCCTAAATAAAAGGCATGGTAGGGAAGAACAAATAAAAAAAAAAAGGAATACCATCTGGACCTGCAGGATTCCATTAAAGTGAAATGGATAGGATACTGCATACTTAGAAAGATGGTTATGTCGATGCCTTCATATAATAAATTTGTTTTCACAATTTGAATAAAAACCTCTTATATTATAGCTTGGTGCCTTAAATTGATGTTTAACGTATTTAGAAATAAATTTCTAAGAATTTATATCCTAGAGCAATCAGATTAGAGACTTTTATTCAAATTGGAAAAAAAAAATTATGGCAGAAATATCAGTTACAAGGTTATTAGTGAGAACATCGATATAAACTATAATTATTTTAGGACAAAAATAAATGATGAATGATAATTTACAGTACACAGGTTAGATATCAATCATTTCTAGTAACATTTGCCTTGTACTTTCTAACAGTTTTCAAGATTAAGAAAACATAATACTATACTGTTCATTAATTGCTTAATTTTTTCAAATTCGAAACACAAGGTTTAAAGAACACATGATTTTCACAAGAAAATAGCTTACCTATCTGCTCCAAATCCTCCTAACGTGATGCTGAGAAAAAGTGCCGTTGACCAACGATGGCCACCAGTCCAGTTGCAAGGAATATTACGCGCAAATGTTCTTCTTCCAAGACAAAGGACATCATCATGAACTGTACAGTTTGTTCTATAACAATAAAAGTTAAAGTTTTATAATTTTTAAAAACAATGAAACTTAATTGTATATCATCTATTTATTTTATTCTTTTACATTTCCAACTGATTAGTTTCTGTGATTAAATATTGTAATTAAAACCATAAAATGGATTTTTATTAGGCATGAAAGTTATTACTTTGATTTCACTAGTCTCCTCATTCAACAGAAACAGTTATTAAAATAGATTTCCAGATAATAACAGTTATATTAAATTTCTAGAATTTTTATTTTCACTATAAAATTTCCAAAGAGTAGATATATACATAGAACAGATAGGATTTAATAACCTATAATAAGCTTTTGGTGAAGCAACTGAGTCACAGCTTCCTTTTTCAACACATTTGTGTTCCCATCTCTCTGTCTGATAACAAAATCTGCATATGTACTTCCTTTCAAATTTAGGTATGCCCTGAAATAAATTTTCGAATCAAAATTGAGATTTGACATCTCATAAATCAAAAGTTATTCTTTGTATGAAATTACCTTGCACTTCATACGGGCATTGCATTTGGCGGTAGTAATATTTCCATACACACAAGTTTCATTGAAAAGACATGTTATGCAAGGGTATTTCAATTCTTCACAGGGTGTCATAGGAGGACAATCTTCTTCTGACTAAAATTTTTAATAAATCTTAAAATTCGACAGACAAATCTTTAAAGGTTGGAATTAAAAAAAAAAAAAAATGAAATTTACCAAACTAAGACCACTAGTAACTGCGCTTCCACCTTTAAGTTTTTCGCCTAACCGATCATTCATGAAGTCTCCTTTTAAACAATAAGATTAACAATTAAGAAAATGGTAATCAATAATAACAACGTAGGGGAAAACACAAAAATATTTACCATTATGTGAACAATGACTAAGGACTAGAAATATCGATAAAAAGATGTATTTTAAAACCATATTTAAAACAAAACCTGTCAAACATATTTACATTTTCTAACTGTTGTAACAATGCTAGAGGTTACATTTTGGCATTCTCTCTCAATTCCTCTATCGCTATCACTAGTATATCGAGTTATTGTAATCGAACAATCTTTACTAAAGTTATATCGATAGTATTTTGTTTATTATATATTAATATGATTTTATTCTATAAGAATAACTGGAACTGAAACTGTATTCCTATCTGCATCTTCTCTAAAAAAATTGTACGTGATTACTACCACAATTACATAAAGTATTTGTTTGTTGGACCCAAGCCATATGACTATTAATTAAATTAACACTAGGATAAAAGTTATAAAATTTAAATAGATGAAGGGCATCATTGCTGAATGAAGCTACAAAATTGCTGCAATGGGGTGTATGCTTGTGTTACAGAATTTAGGGAAACAACTATTGGATGATAGATGTGGTATTAAAACTACAATTTCCAAAGTTTAATGTAAGCTATTCGCTAAAAACTTTTTTAAAAGCTAATACTCATAAACAATCACAATATAGCTTTCATATCTAATTATCAATGCAATGAAATTATTTTCAAGAAGGTTTTTGCGATATTCATGGAAGTGAAATTCACTGAATTTCTTGTGTAATATATAGGGAAATTTCATAAACTTTGAATTTTTTTTACAAAAAAATATTCAGTACACCTAATACAATTTTATATACATATGGATGAAAAATCCATAATTTAAAACTATGAAATATAATTGCCATCAAAAAGAACTCTTATTTTAAGTAAATGCGTGCGGATAGTAATAAAATAAATAAATGAAAAGAAAACAAGTTTCCCTGTTTAAAAATTCGTAGATGAAATAAAGCCCACCTTACATGATCAATATTATTGAGTCGATATCGAATATATTGGGCGTCTGAACAATAGAGGATCCAGGATTTAATTTTGGGGAGGCTTCAGCCGGAAAGATTTTTTTTTTTCATATTCATAAAACGATAATTAATTTGGGGGAAAAAAAAAGAAAGAAAATAACTACCTATATTATATGACGTTTAAGTGGTTCTTAAGGTTCTATTAAATGTAATTACCGGAACAAGAATACTTTAAGAGATAGTTTTTAATATTTTTTTTCTGTAAAACATGGTTATATTTTACCATTTTGGGGGAGGCTTCACCCCGAAAGCCCTCCTCCCCCGTAGACCCGCCAGTGCGTCTGCAGGATACATTGTAACAATCACATTGACATTTGATATTAAAGAATATTGCTTCAATATTATTGATTCAATAATATTAACTGTGCAAGGTGGGCTTATGAAGCAATTTTTGTACTCATGGGAGTGAGGTTCTCTGAATGTTGTTTTGCTAACTAAATTTTCATTTGGAATTCAGTTTAACTGTGTCTTTTTCATTGTGAACATGGCTCTTAAACAAAAATTAAGAGTGAAAGAAAAGTTCGAAATAATAAAAGGTTTAAAAATATGTTAAACATAATCATCTAGCTTAACTAACAGCGACATTAATGTTAAACCAAATTATTTATTTAATTTCTTTGATACTGACAGCAGCTGGAAAATATCAAAAACAAGAAACAAAAATCTGGTGTGTCCACTCACACGACTTTCCTACCTATTTCATAAAAGTTTTTATATCATTACATATGTTCATGAAGAAACAAAACAGAATTTAACTAATTTACTTTCCTGAAAATTGATCAAACAAAAGATTTGAGTACGATTTATTTGATAAATTAAGGCAATGAAACCGGCTTAAGGTAGATCAGTGTAAAAATTTCAATACTCACTAATATTGCTGATCAAAAAACTTTTTGCCATAGCTTAGTATTGTCAAACAATAATTTCTGTTAAAAGTAGAGGAAATAGTGAAGGTTGTGTGATGCTGGCAACAGAATTTCTTAATTTCACTAAGTCATCTTTAGTCTCTTATTCACCCCTTTCTAACACCAGGAAATGAACTCTTAATCATTCATTGGGAATTGAATCGCAGTAACTTCGTTAATAATTGTCCAAAATGAACGATTTTTATATGGCTTTCTAGGGAATTTAATCACCTTTCAAACGATAGGCTAAAATATGTTTTTCGGGGGCTGTGAAACGTATAGATCCGTCGAAAACCGCATGTCGGAAATTTGACCCGATTGCAATACTTTCCTTACTTAGTAGAGGTAGGAAAGTAATAAAATAAGTTTAAAAAATGTGTAAAAAATAGAATAAGCTGTATCATCGCTAATACTGGTTCGATTCCGATGATTTTTTTTTTGTTTTGTTGGTAATTTAATTACGTTTTAAATGTTTTATTATAAATTTCACCGTATAATATATACTTAGGGAGTTAGGCCCCATAACATATTTCTTTTCTTTATAACTTTTTTTCCTGAATTTTTTCGGGAATTTAGTCTATATTCGAAAATTGAAAGAACAATGATTAGAACATTACAAGAAAGTTTCATCAAAATCGTTAGAGCCGTTTTTGCGCTACGGTCTATAGAAAAACATGTTTTTCATTTATTGCGCGCAAGCTATTGCGCATGGAGCACCGACTTTCTGTCGCATTCAAAGTCAAACCCCTACAAAATAAAAAAAAGCAACAAAATCGGTTCAGTAGTTCCCGAGAAAATCTTGGCACAGACACAGACAAACAGACAGATAGACCAATGGCTAAAAATGTGTTTTTCGTACTCAGGGGGCTCTGAAACTTATAGATCCGTCGAAAACCACATGTCGGAAATTCGACCCGATTGCAATACTTTCCTTATCTAGTATAGCTAGGAAAGTAAAAATACTAGCTTATTGAAATAACCATTTATATATTTCTTTGTCCCATAGTTTTTGAAATGTCTAAGCTTTTTGAAAAATTAGTTTTGACATGTAAAGGAAATAGATGATTAACATTATAATTGCTTCCTTAATAGTTACAATAAACATTCACTCCTATAATCCTGCGGAAATCTCTGATATTTTCAAACAATTAAAATGTTTCACGAACATTCTAGATTTATTAGCAGCTTTTAAATATACAGTCCAAATGGCAAAAACCGAATAACGGTGTTTGCAATTCAAAAACAAACATGGTAAATAATTAACAATTTTCGGAGGCTACGTTTTTCCTTCAAATTGGAAAAACATTACTATTTATAATTTTTAAAATAATAAGGAACATCGTGAAACATTTTTATAAATGAAACAATATAAAATTGATTTAAAGGCAGCCAAAATTGTTTTGTTTTTTCTGCGAGAAACAAACCAGGGAATCCTTAAAATCTTTGGGCGTAATCTTTAATCCTTTGCCACCTTTATCGCAATACAGATTGCGACAACTAGCAGCACAACCTTCAGCCTACGGAAGCTAAGAAAAGTGATTTGCAGCTTCAGGTGTCAAGGATGAGTTCAAGAGAAAAGGCTTTCATTAATAAGCCTAATCACGTTAAAAGACTTGAGATTTTGAAAACATATTCAACAAAAACTTAAAATTTCAGAAAGCTACAATGTTTTTTTTCTTTTTCCATTCAGTCCGTCTAGATGAACGTAAGCCTTTGGAGGAAACCGAAGGTCCAGTTTCAGGTACGAAACGTCAGTCCAACAAATAAGGTTCTCTTCCAAGGCTCTATTTTGTAATGACGTAGGCAATTTGGTTTTATTGACAGAATGGGAATGCTAAGAAATAAATTTTGTGACTTTGAATTTGTTTCCTATTTCGACAAGACCCTAACGTATGATAAACTATTTAATTGAAGAAGATAGTTTAAAACTTCCTCACAGTCTTCATTTATATATGCAATCTAAAAATGGTAGTACATTTTACATGGGAAAGTCAAAATTATAAAACTTCATCAATTAATGAATTTGAAAGAGTTTATCTGAAGTTACCTAAAATTTGACATGAAATAACACAAAATCTGGCACCATTGATAACATCAGATTTACTGACGATTAGTGATTAGGATTTAGCCTACCTTACACGGTCAATATTATTGAATCAATAATATTGAAGCAATATTCTTGAACGTTATATACATAGCACAAATGTCAATATAATTGTTAGAATAAAGGAAGAAGATGGTCCGGGGTGGCGGTCATAAATAGGCTAAATAGTGGTAAAACTATTTTATTAAAAGCCGACGTTTCGACCCAACTTTACAGGTCATTTTCAGGGCTCGAACGGACAAGATACAAACGGGGTTCTAGCCCTCGAGATGACCTGCAAGGTCGAAACGTCGGCTTTTAATAAAATAGTTTTACCACTTATTAGTTTTAGCGTTTTAGCATATTTATGACCGCCACCCCGGACCATCTCCTTCCTTTATAATGCAACGGTCAACTATTAAATATTCAATTATTAGAATATATCGCTTAGACGGTCAATAGATCCGATATTGACCGTGTAAGATGGGCTTAAGAGATATGATAAACATAAAATTCCTTAAACTTTTTTATAACATTGTAACAGTTTTTACAGTTACTTCACAAACCAAGCGCGTGCCACCACGGCTAGCATAAATACTTTTTCTGATTTATTATTTTGTCTTATTTTATTAATTTTTCATTTTAAGAAAGGGCTGTCCTTAAAATTTACTTTTAATATTTTTTGCGCACCTTGTGAGCAATAAGATCTTGTGATAAGGCAAACAATTTTTTCCATCCGTATTATTTTGCTGCTTTTCATGACTGAATTGATTTACGTGAAAATTTGTTATGCCTTTGTAATCAATAAAGATATTGTAAACTTCTATTACAACGAATAACTATATAAATTATAGCGATCTGAACTGGTACGCAACTGAGACTTGACGACTAAGGGCGAAGTACAATCTTCGAACTGGTATAGACAAGTAGCGTACAAAGTGCAAGAAGTAGTGTTATATCTATTATAAGGGATTTTTAAAAAAATATTGCTTCCAAAAATACATTTAAATTATCAAATTTTACATAACAAAAGTAAATTAATTTATTTTTGAACACATCATTTCGCAGTATATCCATTTAACTTAACATTCCCCTCCGTTCTTATAAGCACAACAAGGTTTATTCACTATTTATTACCTTATTATAAATTGGAAATTTAAT